CTGCCCCCCCAGTCTCCATCGCCACCTCGCCCACCTAGCCTACCTGGCCGGACGCAGACTCTGTCCACAGCCTCCCCATCACATCTCTCTGCTTCGTTCCTGCTCCCCACCCCCTGCTTAGCTCTCCCGATGCTCTTTAAATGCACACACCCTTTGGGTTGGGCAGGCGTTGTCCGCTGGCTCTACCCACTCATCTCCTACCCACTCTTGTCCACCACACACCACCTCACTCCAATCCTTCTCGTCCTCAGACCTGCCCAGCCTGTTTCCCCTTAGCACCTCCCGGGCCCACGCGTCGTCCCGTCAGAGCTGGCGTCTTCTCACACTCAGGTCTCAGCACCAGCACTGCCTCCTTAGGGAGCAGCCTCAATGAACCATGAACCACGTCAGCTAGTCCTGCTCCCCTGCAGCCTCTCCCCACAGGCACCACCGACTACTGGGTCATTCTGTGCTGGTTTCCTTGTCTGCCGTCTCCCTTTCCTGGCTTCCTGCGTGTCAGCTCCTCCAGCAGCAGAAAGAGCTAAACTCCTTCATCACTCTGTCTCTAGCAGGTCATCCAACCAACATGTTTCCTGAGTGTCTAACTGTGCCAGCCACCGTGCCCGCAACAAGGAGCAGAAATACAATGGGGACCTCCCTCGTGGAATTTAGTCCAGCGGGAGGCAGACGCTCATCCAAGACATCCATGCAGAGACGTCAAACCCAAACTGCACTGAGTGTGACAAAGTCATCCTGGGTGGGGCTTGGGGCTAGGGGAGCTGCAGTGGGATGGGAGTGGGGGCTCCCCCGTCAGGAGAGTCAGGAACCACCGCGCTGCAGAGAGCTGAGCTCACGTCCACAGGAGTCTGCAGGGTAAAGGGAACAGTAGAGCACGGAGCACGGAAAGCTCACGGCTGGGTCTCAGACTATGCGATGGCCTCGCTCTAGGAACCAACCACTGTCAGGCCGTGGCGTCACATCCCCGGTGAGTTCAGTTATCTGAAAAGGCTACTAAGCCCCTTTCCCACGGCATTATCTGGGTGAAGCCGCTGTCTTCCCAACTTCCACCAAAACAGCCCACTGCAGAGCTGGGTGCACAGCAGGCGAGTCTCTTCGCAGCCTTACATGATTAAAGACAGGTGCCAACGTGTAAGTACTGCCCTCTTCCTACTAAGTATTTCTTCTTTTACAGACTGTCAGAGAGCATACTCGTAAGCCCTCCCACAGAACTGACCCTCGAGTACCGGGGTGGGCAGGCCTCTGCACTGTTATGCTCCCTGGAGAGGAGTGTTCAAGTGCCCACAGGCCTGAGGCACGGCGGAGGCTCAACAAGCGCACGTCTCCCCACTGCCCTTGTTGCAATTAGCGCAGGACACCAGCCTCTCCGCCAAGGGCTTCACAAGCAGAGGCTCCCAGACCCATGGCCCCACCTCCCTGGAGTTAGGCTCCTCCCATGCAGTGTTCAGCTCCAGGTCTGTCTCCTGCACCCCTGCTTCTACTGGGCGGTTTTCCCTCCTGACCAACCCTCTGTCCCCATGAGGGATTTAAAACACACGGGACATTAGTGACACTTCCCCACAGTCTGGGCTCCACGGCTTTCCTTCCTGCCCTTTGATGCTGGGCACAGAGAACCTGAGTCGTGGGACAGAGAGTGCCCCACTCCAAGGACAATCCCACATGAATTCCACCCGCAGGCCTAGCTTATCTTATCGGGCTGGTGAATGTGTAACATATACATGCATTAACCTCACAGTAATGTAGGGGGCAGAGCACTGAACTGCAGTCCCGGTCCTAAGGTCAGTTCCTGACCTGATACCACCCAGCTGTGCGACCATCGGCCGAGGTTATCCCTCTGGGACATGGAGGGTAAGGCCTATTTTCCATCCTACAGGCGCTCACTCTTGCCCTCACCATGCAGGGGGTTAAGTGACTCAGTGCTCGACTGTCCTCAAGAAGGGGGAACACTGAGGGGACCTGAGAAAAAGAGGAATCATTCAGAACACACCCAGGGTGCCCAGAGTCAGCACACTGAGCAAAGCAGAGGTGGCAATGTCCTCTGTCTGCAGGACCTGCCTCTCCTGCCCCCTCCCTCTGCCTGACACTGCTGGTCTGTCTTCCTCCGGCCAGGCCTGGGAGCCCTGCTCTGGGTGGGGCAGAGTGTGAGCGCCAGTGACCATCCTCTCAGAGGCATGTTCAATCATTAAACATGCCTCCTTCCTCCCACTGCTGGGCACAGTAAGACCCAAAGGGACAAAGTCCATGTTNAGGAGATTCAATCATTAAACATGCCTCCTTCCTCCCACTGCTGGGCACAGTAAGACCCAAAGGGACAAAGTCCATGTTCGGGCCCAGAGGAGAAAGGAACAGACACCGGGAAGCTCGTGCCATCCTTGNCATGTTCAATCATTAAACATGCCTCCTTCCTCCCACTGCTGGGCACAGTAAGACCCAAAGGGACAAAGTCCATGTTCGGGCCCAGAGGAGAAAGGAACAGACACCGGGAAGCTCGTGCCATCCTTGGGAGAAGCAGAAGTCTGGAGATCACATGAGGCTGCCTGGCTCACTAAGGAAGGAAAGGCAGGCTGGGCCTGGGAGACAGTGACAGAAACACAAAGTGGGCCTCAGCAGGACTGTCCCCAGTGACACCGGGAGTGGGAGTGTCCCAGAGCAAGCAGGTCAGAAAGTCTGGGATTTGGGATTCTGGCTAGTTTTTTTAACTGCACTAAAAGTATATTCACATTATTGCGAAAAAAGGCTCTAGAGCTTTTTCCTCTTGCGGAATGGAAACACTGTACCACTGACTGCCTCCCCTCCCTGTCCCACAGAACCTGGTAACCACCCTCAGCTTACTGTTCCTATGATCTGACTACTTTAAACATCCCAGACTCTAGCTGTCTCCATACCTAACTCACATGTAACTCGTACTGTTCAGCAAACCAAAACGCACACAGGCAGGGGAGGGATCTTGGGGCCAACTCACCTAGGAAGCTCCAAGTACAGAGGCCATGTGCTTCTCAGAGCCAAAGAACCACAGGAGACGTGGAAGTCCTAAGACCGTAAGACTGGCAATCAGAGTTCAGGACTGGCATGGATAGAAACTCATCACTACCGCCTCAAAGAGGGCCTGGGGTGGGAGACCACAAACATGCTCAGTGGGTGATGGGTGTTATTTCTGGGAATGTACGCCCTTAAAGACAAATCAAATCTGGCCAGCAGTCTCAGGAAACACCCTCACTTCTAGAACTCTAGGTGGAAACATGAACAGGACTGAGCTAGAAATGGAAAACACAGGAGCACCTGGCTATTACCTGGGCCTATGCATCCAACTCCCGCTGTGGCCACAATAAGCCCGGCGAGGTCATGTGGAGGATTCCTTCCCCTGTATAAGCGATAACCTTGAGATTGAGACCAAAGCAAACACTGGCAGGAACAACTTGGAATCCATAAAATACTAGGCCTGCACCTCAAATCCTATCGCCCATAAGGCTGGCTGGCTAAGGGCACTGAGTTAGCGAGAGAGGAGGGAGGGACACTTGCCACTCGAGGACAACTCACCTCAGTGCCTGCACCTCTTCCCACAGGGTAAGTGGCTAAGGACACAGGACCCTTCTTTCTCTTGCTTCCTAGCTAAGAGTGGAAATAGCATAAAACTCTATCAGGTACGTAGACCATGGGGGCCCAGGCTGTGTGTTCAACTGGAGTACTTCAGATTTCAGCAATGACCAAGGACAGATGAGTAACCACCTGTCCTGTGGAAGATGTGGGTTGTCTCCTTCAGTTCTGTGCAAAAGGGAAAATTCATAAAAAATGATCACTAATCCAAAGGCCCAAAGAAAACAAGGGGAAACGCTTGTGCAGGAAACACAGTGGCTCTGGGAATCTAGTCTGTACATGGCCAATGGAAAACGAGACCCCCCAGGTTGGGGACTTCCAAGGACCCGTATCCAGGGAGAAGGTTGCTGTCAAGGTTTTGGGAGAAAACAGCAAGAACTTACGGAGAGAGGAAAAACTCAGCTGGAAAAGGTCTGATATCTCAGTGTAGAGAATAGCATGTGTGTGGGGAGCAGGACGGCGGGTCCAGAACCCGGTTCCGGAGCAGAAGCCAAGGCAGCAGAGGAAACGGGCAGGCGGAGCGGAGCTGCATTAACCCAAGGTGCCCGTGAGTACTGAAGCCCAAACTGCAGGGCAGCAAAGAAGTTCCTGCTGCCTTCAGATTCAAGGAAGGCCATCAGGGTCCAGGGAGCTCAAAGCCAGAGAGGTGAGAGCATGAGGAAAACAGTGAGGTAGGAAGCTGTCCCTGCTCCCAGATGGCACCCACACCAGCTCAGCCACCTAGTCCAGGTTCTTGCCTCTGTTAAGAAAATGTCCTGCAGGAGTCTCGTTTCACTGCCCGCAATGCCTGCAGAGGGCACTCAAACACTGCTCAGATGCCCTCGTGGACATTCACGCCAAGGTGTCTGAACATGAACCTCAGCGGGCGAGTGGCGTGACGATTAGTCCAGCCTGCCTTCTGCAGGTTCCCTGTCTCTGACTGTGAGCTGGGGCCTCTACCACAGCCCTAAGTTACTGAGTACTGGTTAACTGAGAAAACTGACTTCCATCTGCTAGCTGAGGCCGAGTACTTGGAATCAGTGAAATATTCTTATATACTACATGTTTGAATTGTGCATCTAAAAATAACTGAAAGCTAGAGGGACCTAACAGGGTTTAGTGTACAGAAGAGCAAGCTAATTTTATGAATTGTTTTATCATTTCCCTAAGAGGCAGACCAATGGTTGGGACAGAGGTCTGCTCTGGCTACAAGGGCTCCCTCCTAAGCCCTGTCAGGAGACCATGGAAGGCACTGCAAATAAGATAGGGAAATGGACGACTATTTCATGAGCCTGACTTGCAGGGGTTTGAAAAATGAATGAGCTCCGGAGCAGCCTCACTGGCTTCCTATGATGTATCAGGTGACACGGTGACAGCGCACGTTCCAGCTGGGATGAAGATGCAGACACACTGTTGTGCTGGGCAGAACGTAAATTACTGCTTTTTAAAATGGAACTCTGCTTGCTTCTGACATGATGCCAAGGCTGATTTTCATTTTTTTAAAAAACCTCTCTTCCAGGAACAAATGAACATCCACCAAAAGCCACACTAGGAAATACCAAGGCCCATGTTTAAGTTTCTGCATTTATCCCACAGGTACAAAATTAGAAATGAGAACCATTCTTATTCTGCGTGTTGCTAGGAAGCTATTTTCCTCCAAATATGGGAAGCAACAAAGTTCATTCAAACTTACTCCAAATGCTCCACTCAAAAAACGTTCCAATGGCAGTTTTTAGCATACAGTTTAGCGCATGCTTTATATGACAGAGCAGATCTATTTTTAAAAGTGCGCATGCCTATTCACCATGCAGCTAACATATGTCCTAGATACAATGTGCTTTTTAAACTCAATGTTCCATTATAAATGTAACACATATAATCTTGGAAGATGCAAAAAAAGCAAAATTTTTAAGTCACCCAACATTCCACCTCCCAATGTACACAATTTTTAAGGTTTTCATCTGGTTTCTTCCAGACAGTTTTCCATTGTAGGTTTTTGTGGACAGTGGTTGGGATGTTTAAGAGTTTTAATCGTATCAGGTATGTAATTTTGTGTCCTGGTTTCATTCCACTTAACACCATCGTAAACATTTTAATACATTTTCGTCATAAACATTTTAATGGCCATGCATCATTGAGTGGATGAATCATAACTCAGTCACTCTGCGAGCGCACCCTTAAAAGTAAGTACCACATGTGTCTTTTGTGGGTGAAGCTTCTCTGCTTAAAAATGCTCCTTTGATGGTCCTAGATGGTTCTGCATCAAAGAATGTGAACATTTCTAAGGCCCTTGATACATACAGCCAAAGTAACAGGAGTGTGGCATTTTTACCATGTCCTCATAAGTACTAGGTACTCTCATTTTTTAGTCTAAATTGATGAGTGAGAAACTATAGCATCTTTATTACAAAAGTAAATACTATAAAAACAACAACTAAAACAATGAAAAAGTATGTGAAATAAAAAATCAGTCTCTCCGGGGGAGGGCGGAGGGGTCAATGGGCGGGGAAGGGGGACATCTGTAAAAAAAAAAAAGAGAGGAAAAAAAGTCTCCCTTAGGACTTTCCCCTCAGTAGTCACAATGTTCCTTCTACAACTTTTTCTATTTTTATTCAGGACATACACAATTTTTGGTATGGTACAAAAAAATTAAAACTTGCTTTTTTGGCTCAGTAACATATCTAGACCTATCCATCCAGGCCATGTCAGAGCCTATTTTTTATTTTCCATTTTAGTTTCTGCCAGCTAGTTTCTGGTATTCAAAAGCTATGGATTCTACATATGCACTGTTACCTAGTCACTTCCTCAGTGTTTCTGTCCGTTTCTCAGTTACTCTCATTTTTGTAGCCAATAGCATCTACACAAGATTTCCTGCCTTTCATTTTATATCCTCACCTTGCTCTTGTTTTATATATTACTGTTTTGACAAAACTTATAAAAACGGCCCGGCCAGTGTGGCTCAGTGGCTGAGCATCGACCTATGATCCAGGAGATCTGGGTTCGATTCCCAGTGAGGGCCCATGCCCGGGTTTCAGGCTCCATCTCCAGTAGGGGGCGTGCAGGAGGCAGCCAATCAATGACTCTCTCATCAATGATGTTTCTCTCTCTCTCCCCCTCTCTCTCTGAAATCAATAAAGATACCTTAAAAAAACCCCAAACATATAAAAACCATGTTAAATAACTTCCAAAATTTTGACTCATATTTTTTAAAGTATAGTGTGGGCAATTAGTTTAATATTTACGTGTACTTTTTGCATTAAAAAAGTGCCTTTTCATTCTACTTATAAAAAAATGAGGACTTAAAAAAAAAAAAGTGTCTATTTTGACCTTAGTTTAGATGGCAGTTTGAGTTCAATGTGAACTCCAAGGGAGAGACGGCCTCTCGTCTAAACCAACCTCTGAAACGGCCTATGTGGTCTCCCCCACTTCCCACCCCCCACATTCTGCGTGCAGCAGCTGGAATGGTTGTTTAAAAATGCAAATCTGATTATGTCATTCTTCTGCTTAAAACCCACTCCTTGTGATGGTTTCCCACTTCACTCAGGATAAAGTAAAACATCCCGAACCTACCCTACAAGACCCTACATGACCAAGAGGCCCCTGCCTGGCCACACTTCCCCTCGCCCACAACAACCTACCCAAGAGTCCGTCTCTGTTCCTGGAACAGGCAAAGCATTTTCCCCGCCAGGGCCTTCCGACACGCCATTCCCTGCCTGGACGATCACCCCCCACCTCACTCTACACTAACCCTGCTCTCCCTTCAGATCTCAGCTGAGACCTGACTTTTGTTTAAAAAAAAAAAAAAAAA